CTCCGACGTCCCCGGGGTGCGGCCGCCCCATGACCTGCCCAGCTGAGGCTCTGTCCCCGGGAGCCCCCTGCTCCCTCTCCCCCGACCCCTGGGTGAGCTCCCCGTGCACGTCCCCAAGGCTCCCCGCCTGGTAGTGAGTGCGAATTTCTGTTCATACTTGTCACCCCACCACTCAGGAGGCTGAGGCAGGAGGATCACCTGGGCCTCCGGCCAGCCTGGACTACATAGCAAGATCCTGCTTCCAAAGAAAACAAGAAGCAAGCTGGGACACCAGGAACCACAACCCGAAGTTACATTTTATTAGAGAAAAGCCAAGCCAAACCAGACTCCCTAAGAGACAAGCGGCCGCTGAGAGTAGGGAGCTGGCCTGGTCCTCCCAGCCACCAGACAGTCGCTCTGCGACAGTAGGACTCGAGTCAAGGTCCAAAGCAACACGACGCCGAAGACGTCCTAGCCCCACCCACCGGCCAGCCGCAGGAATCCCGCTGTCCCACCTCAGCTATGGAGGCTCACAGGCTGAGCTGGCCCTGAATGGCGCCCAGAGCAAGCCTTTCCTGAAGCCCTCCCCAAGCCCCTGGATCTCTGCCAGGGGCGCCCCGGGGTCATGTGCTGCCGCGGGGCCTCCCATCCAGCGGCAGGCAGAATAAACCCAGCTTTGCAGGCTGAGGCAGCTCTGACCACCACCAGCTGACCTCCAGCACTGCAGACTCGGGAGCCAGCCAGCTATGTGGAGGCTCTGAGCCCAAGGGGCCGACAGCCACAGGCCCTTCCTGCCCAGTGGCTCGCCCCAGGGAAGGTGGGCGCTGGTGGTCTGTGTCCTGCGCACCCAGGAGGTGGCCACGCTGAGCTCCAGGTTTGGGAGGAGGTGTGGGCCCTCTGGGACACTCAGGGCATGGCGTGAAGATGCACAACACACTTTCACTTTGTTTTGTTTTCTAGACAGGGTCTTGTTGTGTATTCCAGGCTGGCCTCAAACTCAGAGATCCTCCTGCCTCAGCCTCCCCAGTGTTGGGATCACAGGTGTGGGCCACCCCGCCCGGCTCCACACCACACACCCGGCAGGATGACTGGGGAGCTGGCATCGCCTATGCGAGGTCACAGATGGCACTGAAGGCCTTCGGGTTGGTACGAATTTATTTGCAGTGTAAGAACATGGCTCAGCAGGAGGACGGACAGGACAAGAGACGGCCACAGTCAGGGGAAGCGGCGCAGGCGCAGCAGCCCGGACACCGCTCTCAGCAGGGGCGGGTGTGTGTGTGTGTGTGTGTGAGCTCCAGCCCAGGCGCTGAGGACTCTGGGAAAGGTTCTGGAGCCAGAGACCTGGGCTTGGGCAAGAGTGTGAGGCTGGCTGCTGGGACGCCCCCAGGGACAAAAGCACGTGTTGCTCGATTTGTTCTGCACAATGACTCAGAATTTATGAAACAACAAAAGTGATTATCCCTTAAAAAGTAAGCTGGGCTGGTGGCACATGGCTGTACTCCCAGCACTGAGGGAGGCTGAGGCAGGAGGTTCCCTCCCAGCCTGGGCAACTCAGCAAGGCCCTGTTTCAAAATTTTGAAAAATGTTATTTATTTATTTATTTATTGTATTTTTTGAGACAGGGTCTCACTATGTAGTTGAGACTGACCTGGAACTGACTATGTAGCCCAAACTGGTCTCAAACTGACAGTGATCCTCCTGCCTCAGCCTCCCGAGTGCTGGGATGACAGGCGGGCACCACCACACCCAGTTAATTGAAAAATGTTTTTACAGTTTGGGATGGAACTCAGGGTGAGGTTCCATTCCTTATGTTGCAAGGGAAAAAAAAAATGAGTTGGGGGAGCTTCTGGACGAGGCCTTTGGCAGCCGTAGTAAGGGGACAGCCCAGGCCAGGGCCAGAGTGGGGCTTGGGGACACAGGCCCTGGTGCATCCTGGAGGCCCGCGTGTTGGGGGCGCACAGTCCCAGTCAGGGGAGCAGGACGCCCAGGCCCTGTCCGGTCCCTAGGGTCTGCTGAGGCCGGGCTCGCTGCGGCAGAGGACACAGCAAGGCCATGGCTGTCTTTGGACCCTGCACCCTGCCCAGGTCCAGCCGCACCCCAGTGTGACACAGCCGAGGGGGCTCCAAAACGTGCCCCGAGGCACCAGGTGACATCCTCGCACATTTACCAGGCCAGGGGAGATGTGCTACCCAGACCCACGAGAGGAACCCTAGGGAAGAAAGCTCCCAGCCAAATCCAGGGAGGCTGCTTCCCGTTAGGGAAACCTCGAAAGTTTCAAAACCATTTTTCTTTTGGTACCAGGGAGTGAACCCAGGGACCTATGACCTCAACCATTTATTGGTTGTTTTTTTTGAAAAAGGGTCTCACTATGTAGCCAGGCTGGCCTTGAACTCCTAGTGATCCTCCTGCCTCAGCCTCCCAAGTGCTTTGATTACAGATATGCACCACCATGCCCAGCCTGACTTTAAAAAAAAATTTATTTGGGGGTGTGTTTCAGACAGGGTCTCACGATGTAGCTGAGACTGACCTGGAACTTACTATGTAGCCCAGGCTGGTCTCGAACTCACAGCGATCCTCCTGCCTCAGCCTCCCGAGTGCTGGGATGACAGGCGTGCGCCACCACGTCCAGCCCAGCCTCACTCTTTAAGACAGGGTCTTGCTAAGTCACTAAGTTACCAAGGCTGGGCTTGATGTTGCCATCCTCCTGCCTCAGCCTCCCACCACTGGGATTATAAGTCTGTGTCACCAGGCCCAGCTACAAAAAGCACTCTTGCAGCAGCCTTGGAGCTGTCCTTCTGACAGCTCAGCCCTGTGCGTGCAGCTGGCCCAGCACCCCTGGGCGGGGGAGCCCCACACCCCAAACGGTCGGTGTGTGGAACTGACAGCGAGAGCCTCGTGGTGCCCACGGAAGGAGCTCAAAGTCGGGGTCCTGGGGACCTGTACCTCCTCCGCACCGAGGAGGCCGGCAGGAAAGCGTGCGAGCGGGTCTGGGAGGGAAACTGAGTCAGCGGGGTCTCAGCAGCAGCCGGCGGCACTGCGTCTCACGTGGCACGGCTTGCAGAAGAGGCGGTCGTCCAGCGGGTAGCAGCCCTGCTCGGTGGGCTCCACGGACAGGAGGACACTGCAGTCCTGGGGGACAGGGGCGCCCGGTCACCCCGGCGGCCAGGAGCCCAAGCCACACCCCCACTTCACGGGCGGCCGGCTCGGGCCTGGGACAGGGCTGGTTCCGGGCTGAGCTGAGGGCTTGGTCTGGCTTTGTGCTATTGGGGATTAAACTGAGGGCCTTCGCATCTTTATTCTCAGACAAGGTCTGGCTAAGTTGCCCGGGCTGGGCTCAAACTTGTGACCTTCCTGCCCGGCGGCCAGGAGCCCAAGCCACACCCCCACTTCACGGGCGGCCGGCTCGGGCCTGGGACAGGGCTGGTTCCGGGCTGAGCTGAGGGCTTGGTCTGGCTTTGTGCTATTGGGGATTAAACTGAGGGCCTTCGCATCTTTATTCTCAGACAAGGTCTGGCTAAGTTGCCCGGGCTGGGCTCAAACTTGTGACCTTCCTGCCTCAGCCTCCCAGGCCCAGGCTCGCAGGCGTGGACCGCCCAGTTTGGGGGCTCCCAAGGCTGAGCCGCTTTGACATTACTGTCTCCAGCGTTTCAAGTCAGCAAAGGGTTTCGGAAGGAGGGGAGGACTTGGGGTCACGACTTCACTGCTTTGCACCCCTACACGCTGGATAAGCAGTGGGACTGATTCCTGTCGGGAGACCGGGTCAGGGCACAGCGAGCACGGGGCCCCGTCCCCACAGAGGCGACTCGGGCCCCAGGCGGCCACCCTGCCAGGCGTGGAGCAGTGCGCCCTCGTGTGGCCACTCTCTGCAACCCCACCCGAGTCGCAAAGAAAACCCTGAATCCCAGGATCTGTGCCTGGCATTCACAGCAGCCACCGGCTTGGCCTCTCCCGAGTTAGAATCGGGTGGAAAGAACACATCACCCACAGCCAGGTCTCAGAGTCTGTGAAGGAGCTGCCAGACGTGGCCCAGACAAATGTGGCTCAGAAGCACTTATTTTGGAAGACAGGGCCTTACTATGAGGGTCCAGGCTGGCCTTGAACTCCCTGGGCTCTTGGCGATCCTGCTGCCTCAGCCTCCCAGATACTGGGATTCCAGGTAGGCAACACCACGCCCAGTTTCCAGTCCTGACTTCTGAAACAGCACTGTCAGCCTGAGCTGCGGGTTCTATGGCAGCCTCAGGCAGGCAGGGGACAGGCAGGGGCTTGCTGGCACCCAGGCCGGGCTCAGAACGCCAGTCACTGCCCCGACTTCCTGGGGTGTGGCGGGGATGACAGCCCTGGGCTCCCCCACTGTCTTTCAAGATGCACTATCAGGAGCCTGAGCTCTGACCTGCAGGACAGCTGGGCACCAGGCGGTTTCTCACCTTCCTGGGTCCCTGACGGTCCGTGAACACCCTCCGGCTCTAGTCTGTCCACACAGACAGCACAGAGCTTCCAATAACCCATGGGCTGAGAGTCGCTGGGACTTCCTGTCTGGGGACACCTGGCGGCGCACACCTGTAACCCCAGCACTCAGGAGGCTGAGGCAGGAGGGTCGCCCCGAGTTCGAGGCCGGCCTGGGCTGCACAATGCGATGAACAAACAGAGCGGAGAAGGAGGGGCTTTAAAGTGTGAAACTTCTGACTTGGCTCGTGCTGACTCCCAGCGCCTCTCTGCAACCTGAGCAGCCTCCGGGGCTCAGCCTGGTCCCCTGCGGCCCAGCGTGGCTCCCTGGCCTTCCCTGCCACTGCTCACCGCGGCCTCCTTCGCCCGAAGCCCCTCACGGAGTTCCTTCCCAGCTCCCGGAGGGGACCCCTTCCCCTCTGTGGTCACAGCGGCCCCGTGTGTCCCTGGGTTCTGCCTGCTCAGCACCCCAGCCCCACAGCTCCCTGCACGGGTCCCCACTCTGTCCCCCGGGGTCCTAAGTCAGGAGAACATGAAAAACATAAACCCGGCTTTCTGTGCGCAGGCACCGAAGGGCTCCGACGGCAGTCCTCCTGCCTCAGCCTCCCACAGGCCATGGGGAAGGCACTTCAGCCCAGCCCGGGGCGCCCTCGGGTCCTAGGCCGGGAGGGCTGAGCGGGACGCAGGTGCGGGTCCCGGCCGCGCTCACCTCACATCGGTAGCAGTTCTCGTGGAAGTTCCGCCCCATGCACTCGATTTTGAAGGCGTCCTTCCCGTCCCGGGGCACAATGGGCTTCTCGCAGACGCTGCACACGGGGGCGAATTTCCTGCAGCGAAGGGAACCGCAGAAGTCAGCTGAGGGCTGGGGCTCCCCTCCCGGGTCCCTGCCGCTGCCCCGGATGCCCAGGAGGAGGGAGTGTGACGGCGTGCAGTGAAGATGTGAGCTCGCTGGGCAGCTCTTCCTGCTGCTGTCACCCGGCCTCACTTTTATCCTTCTCTGCAGTACTTGGGCTTGAGCCCATGGCCTCTGCGCTGAGCGCTGTCCCCGATCCTCTGTCCTGTGTTTTTTGGCAGGGCATCACTAAGCTGTCGATTAACCCAGACTGGGCTGGAACCTTCGGTCCCCCCGCCTCAGCCTCCCCGCGTGCTGCGACTACAGCCGTGACCCCGGGCCCAGCTCGGAAGCAAAGCTTTAACGCTCACTCGCCGGGGGACTTGGGGTCTTGGGTGCTGTGTGCCCCAGTCTCCACGTGTAATAAACTGGATCCCTTAACGGGGCCTGGGCGCCTGGGCGTGAGGGACCTGTACCTGTAGAAGTCGTCCAGGCAGTACACCTGGTCCTGGCCGTCCAGGGCGAAGCTCTCGGCGCCGATGCGCCGGGCACAGCTCACACAGGTGAAGCAGGCTGGGTGGAAGGCCTGGCCCAGGGCCCTGATGATGTTGTCCCAGACCACCGCACCACACCGGCCACACTTCTCCAGGGTGTCCTGGGCAGAGGGCGCGGCCTCAGAGCCACGATCAGGACCCTATCTACCTATTTTTGGTTTGCTTGTTCATTTTTAGATTTTTGAGACAGGGTCTCACTGTGTAGTTCAACTTGGCCTTGAACTCACTGTGTAGCCCAGGCTGGACTCAAAAGAGAGGTGATCCTCCTGCCTCAGCCTCCCAGAGTGCTGGGATTCCAAGTGGCTAAACCTCTCAGCCAAGCCCTTCCCTTTCCTTCCTTTCTTTCTTTTTGGTTTTTTGAGACGGGGTCTCACTGTGTAGCTGAGACTGACCTGGAACTCACTATGTAGCCCAGGCTGGTCTCGAACTCACAGGGATCCTCCTGCCTCAGCCTCCCAAGTGCTGGGATGACAGGCGTGCATCACCACGCACGGCTAAGCGCTTCCCTTTCTGAGTCAGGTTCCTCCCAGGAGGCTGTGGGAGTGGAGCACCTGACACCTCCGAAGTGCCTAGCTCAGTACCTGGTAGCAGGGCTCACAGAGGGGCCGCCCGTCCTTCTGGTAGAAGCTCTGCCCAGCCAGCTGGCGGCGGCAGGTGCGGCAGGTGAAGCACTGGGCGTGGTATTGCTTCTTCATGGCCTCCACGGCCAGCTCCCGGGGGGACACAGTCTTGTGGCAGAAGGCACAGATGTCTGGGGTAGGGGGACACAGCCTGTCAGCAGCCCAGCCTGGAGGACTGGACCCAATCCCACACCAACCCAGAAGGAGCCCTGAATACTTCTGGGCTGTGGCCTCAGGGAGCCCCACCTGACCCAGGGCTTTTTGTTTGTTTGTTTGTTTGTTTGTTTTTTTGAGACAGGGCCTCACTAATTCGGGCTGGCTCTAAATTCATTAGGTAGCTATTGTGACTTTCTCCTCGGTAACCTGCCCTGCTTTCTCCAGGGTGTGTTTTTTTATTGCTTTTTCTTCTTTTACTTGGCCCAAGGTCTCTCTGCAGAGCCAGTTTCTCCCTCACTCTTCACTTTTACTTTATTGATTAAACTTAGCCACTGCTTAAAAAAAACAAAATTAAACTCACTATGTAGCCCAGGCTGGCCTTGAACTCAGGAAACCCTCCTGCCTCGGCCTCCCTGAGTGCTGTGACTGTAGATGTGCAGCACTATACCTGGCTACTGTTCTTAGTACTGGGGATTGAACTTGGGACCTTGTGCTTGTGAAGCAGGCGACGGAACCACTGAGCTAAATCCTCAGCCCTACACCTGACTATAACCTCAGAGAAATCCTTTCGAACTGTGACATCAAAGTCCAGAAGCCAGAGAAGGAAGAGCTGGTATAACTGACTACGTAAAAAGCAGATTTTCTTGCCTATTGTGATAGGGAATATGTGTAATCCTACACGCTGGGAGGCTGAGGCAGATAGATCATAAAATCAAGTTCTACCTGGGTAACTTAGTGACACCTGTTTCAACATCTTACAAAAGGGCTGACTAGGAGCTGGGGATTTAGCTCAGCGGTTCCGCTGCCTGCCTGCCAAATGCAAGGTCCTGAGTTCGATTCCCGGTACCAAAAAAAAAAAAAAGAAAAGAGCAAGGAGCCCCATCCACTCTGATTCAGGGGGACTTTCTCCAGGACACGGCACAGAAACACAGCACACGAGACAGCACATTCACTGCCACGGTGAAGCATCCCAAGTCCAAACACCCGAAATCCGTGACGCTCTAAAACCCAAAATGTTTTGCGCACCAACAAGGCCACACGAGCAGGAAATCCCACCCCAGAATGCACACAGCAGGTCGCAGTGGAAACAGGAGCGCACCAGTGCCCCGGAAAAATCCCCGACAAGGCGTGTTTTACGATCACAGCAAAAGGTGTGTGAATCAATATTTAAACAATTTTACTTATATAGAAAGAGCAGGTTAAATCCGGTGGCGTACACCTATAACCCCAGTCCTCTGGAGGCCGAGGCAGGAGGATTTAAAAGTTCAAACCCAGCCTGACCAACTTAGTAAGCCCCTGCTGCAAAATAAAAAGCCTTGGGGATGTTGCTCAGTGAGAAGTCCCCATGTTCAGTCTCCAGCGCCCAAAACGAAGAGAAAGCAGCGAATAAACATGGGGTTGCAGCGCCCGGGTCCACCCATCGCTGTGCAGTGGCCACTGAGCAGGGTCAGTACCTGCGGTCACCTCGCTGTCGGGGATGCCCAGGGGCTCTTCCGGGGGAGGCGGCAGCTCCTCCTCCTCCGCGGGCTCGGCCGGGGCCTGCGGGCGCAGAGTGGGCAGAAGTCAC